GGGGGGGGGGGGGGGAGAAAAGAATCAGAAAAGCCTTTTTGAACCTAGAAAAAAGATTTTGTGGCTACAAAACGTCATCCATTACCAGCCAACTGATAAACAGTGCACAAAACTAGGCAACACCCAACTATTCCTTTTTCTGTCTTCCCAAAAGCCTGCCAAGACAACTTGAATACATGAGACTTCATGCACAAATTGAACACTATCACATAAAGCACTATTTCACTCTAGAATGCATAAAAAGAATCTAAAAGGAAAACTAAATATACAGACAAGCCCTAAAAATTCTGAGAATTTGTGACAGAAAATATACAGCCATTCCCACAATTCTTAAATTTGGGAGATAAATCTAGAGCTTGACGCAAACCCAACCCCAGCATAAACCTATATATTTTTCTAATGACATTAGTTAGCAAGTAGCAAAAGTCAGATTTTGATTTTCTACAACCCAACTCAACAAAACAAAACAAAACCAAACCTTGTCTCGACATTTTTTGAGTCGACTATACTTTCTATTAAATTATAAGTTTTCCTATCTTTTTTACAATTCCATATAAAAGTTGTTTTGGTATTTCTTTACCCCTTCGACTACTGGTAATAGCTACCACATCACTTTTTCTCACCAATGCAGTAGTGAGCCGTCTGTTTCCAAATCATCCAAGCCGATTCCTTCTTAATTTATCTCCAATATAAGCTACTACAACTTTATTAGGGATGAACACATTCCAAATTCTATCATTCCCCATTTTACCACAAATCCATCTTAACATTCTCATTTCCGTAGTACATGTTGTTTCTTAGTTGCCTTATACTCAACACCATAAAACATAGCTGGTCTTATGGTTGTTTTATGAACATCCATTTTATCTTAACCTATCACACAATACACCAAATACATTTCTCCATTTAGTCCATTATGCTTTAGTTCTATGGGTAAGATCATAACTGGTCTCACACTGCCAATGGATCATTGACCTAAATATTAAAAAAGTTCATTCTTTTGTATCATTTGATCTTCAATCTTTACTATTTTCCATTTTTATGAACATTTTTGCATACCGAAATACAAGTCGACAGAAAAATACAAAAGAGAAACATACTGCTTCTGCACCATAACATGAACCACAGTATGTCTCATTGTGCTCCAGCCTGCCACCATGTCTCTGTAAAGGTCTATCAATCTGCCATATATAAAACACATTCGTTAAACTGAGTCATAAAAAATTAAATAAATATAAAGCTTTTTTTTTTTTAATTGTGGTTTTTGGCACAATAGCAGCAACAAAAGAAAGGGAGAAATTTAATCCTTGAACATAAAATTCAAAGATAATCAAGGGCAGCCCACCACAAAAACTATGTAATAGAGAATTAAAGCCAAACAAGCATCTCTGCCTTTCTCTCCTTGGCCCTTATTACAAGTTTCAGAAACAACAATGCACAGAGACAACTACATTCAACCATTTCCTAGGTATGTAGTGTTAATTTTCTGATGCATAAAATCACTAAATGGAGACGAGTTTGTTTCCAATTTTGCAATTCAAAAGTCTCATCACTAACCTTGGGAGCACCGATCCCTTCCTGCCTTGCTTCTATTACATTACCATGAGCGTCAATCCTTTTCTTGATGATGTCATGTCTCTGCAGAACACAAGAAATTAAGATGTACTCCAAAGAAATAGAAGGTTCGAAGATAAAAGTTTAGCATTGTGGTGGAAAGTTTCCACCAGTTTCTCCAGGGTACTTTCCTACATTAACCTTCTTCTTGCCATGCCTAGACAATTCTCCAATTAGCATTACACATCCTAGCACATATATCTGCTCACTTGAATAATGTCAATCAGTGTTATGTCTCCAAATATGCCAAACAAGATTAACTGCAGCATGACCATTATTTGTTTCATATCTGGTCACAAAATGGAATGAAAAGTGTTGTCATAGTCAAACCTCCAGTATTACAAACAAATGGTTTTATACTGGAGAAAGACTGGTACGGCAGGAGTATAGGAACTTAGGAGAGAACAAGTTATAACTCCACCTATACACACTTCTTTAGAGAGAGAGAGAGAAAGCGAGGGGAAAAGAAACTTTGATAGCAACAATCATTACCAATTTATTTACCCAAAAAAAAAAAACAATCATTAACAATATAATCTCATCAGAATACATACAACATCAAGGTGTTGCTCTCCACTGATATCCATGGCATCTACACTGAGTATAGAACATGGAAGCGCGGGAAAAGTCACATCAAACTGCACTTTCAAAAACAATAATGGTACATATCAATTAGCTTAGCAGAGTCTTGCGGTAAATAACACAATAAAACACTTTTCACCAAAGAAACCATCAAATTACAATGTAAACAAACACTTCATATGCTGAGATGATGGTGCAGATGTATTCTCACGCCTTCTAAAGACAAATTATTAAAAAAGTAGGCAAAGGTACATGGTTAACATTTTCTCAAAATGCTAAAAGATTTACAATCCAGTTCAGGTGCCCCCAAGAGGAACTTGAAGTTTTAAAAGTCATCTGTAATGGTTTCACTAGCTTCTAATGCTAGAATAATTACTTGATCGCAGCGTGCACTCACAGATGTGTGTGTGTGCTATGAAACAAGAATACTTCGTTGAGGTCTGTGTACCTGTATCGAATATAATACTCGTCGGATAATCGAGTATATGTATCGGATACTCTACCTACGTATCCGATAATTATAAAATATTTAGATACTTTGCATATACTCTTGTATCAGAGCAGTATGTGTAATTTTTGAATTTAATCTTTCACTTCTCCTTTCGAATTCACATACCATATAATACATTAGCAAAAATTCATACTATTTTGAAGACACATGAGTATTTTTTTAGGTATTATCTACTATTATATGTCAAAAGAGCATAAAATAAATCAATTACATTATAATATTAGCTATAAATACTTCTAAACAAGCCAACTAATTAAACATTAATTTGATTCTTTTAATTAGTCACTTCATTTTGTGAATATACCATAATGATATAATATATACTTTTTTAAAACTAGAAAAAAAAATTGTTAATTTTTTTTTATGTTAAAGAATTACTAAGTTGGTAAATAATAATAAAAATATGAAATATATTTTGTTATAGATGTATTCTGACCGTATACATATCCTATTGACGTATCAATGTACCCATATTTGTATTTGTGCTTCATAGTGTGTGTGTGTATGAGAGAGAGACAAAAGTCAATACATTGATACGTAGTGTTTCCCCCCTTGAAGTATCTACCACTAGCTTTGTCTCGGTTACAGCATGGAGATATAATCCTGCAGAAAAGCAGAATAGTGTAAATACATAGGTATAAATTATATGGGCAAAACAGTAGGAGCACACACGCTTAATTATCGAAGGAGGCTGATGGATCAAACCAAAACGAGAACACGTACAACACACCAGAAACTAATAGTGGACAGTAAAAACTAACGTTATATGTAGAATTCATAACCAAGCAACGATCAAATCTGCAAATTTACTACAGTGTTGGTCCGAAAACCTACTTATACAATCAGACTACCTTGTAAACAAACATAAGATATGGCCCAATTACATAAGAGCAAACACTCATCACTTTAACCAGTACGAGCATAAATAGTCCTTTAAAACCACAGGGCCGATGGCGCTTAGAAACAGTGTGAAGTACATTGTCTAAATTGCAGAACTTCATTTTGGGCCGCTGTGACAAAGGTGATAAATGGTAGCACAGGGTCACTGGGGCTTAGAAACCGTGAAGCATATTGTTTAAATTGCACATCTTCATTTTGGGCCTCGGTAACAATAGGAATTTGAGAATGTTGCTTTTTGTTTTTGGTATCCATCAATTTGGGTGGCCTGATATCGGATCTAGTACGACTTTCTTGTATGAATGTCAGGGATGTCTCAAATGACTTGACTTTAATTGCTACTGTTTTTTATTGGTTTTATTTTGACTTTGTATGTTATTGAGATGGATGACTTGTCCACTTTTTGCGCAAACAGAGCCGAACGTTACTTAAGGCAATGCCGACCAGCACTACAATCACTTAAATAGCAGTTAATTATTTAAAGAATTCTCAATGGTGCCGAAATCTCTCAATAAAGCAGTTAGGCCGTTTTCTTCTCTCTAAAGAAGCTTACTCATAATGGGGGCCTAATGTAAGTAGTCTCCACGGCTATACTATATCAAATAACCTAAGACACGACTCTACGAGTTTTTTTTTGGGTTTTTTGCTAGCCAGACACCAGTTAACTAACCATCAAATGCTTAGCTACTACATAAAGCTTAAACCTACTCTTACAAGAAAGTAAGTAATCTCAAGGCTCGGGCATTGACCCAATGCTTACTTTTAGGCATAGCATTAGCCTACTTCTGCGAGTCAAAAACCCTCATCTGTGCGCTGATACTTCTATAGTAGGAAGACAAGATCGCAAGAGAATCAATAGTTTTATGCCTTCCACCTACTTAGACAATTCGAACTCGCAATTACCTACTCTAGCAAGAGAGCAAACTACCAACGGATCCTTCCACTTCTGTAACAAAGGCTAAAAGATGCGAAAGAAGAAAGCTTGTTTGCGCTTTTAAAGGCTTTGCACCTACTTGTTGTGTCCCGTTATAAGATAGCCAACCAATACGAGGGATTTACTTAGACGCAATAGCCTGTTTGAATAGGATCGTAAACTAAACCGCTCTATTGTTACACCCGTGTTTGCCCGCTACACTTAATCTGTTTACTTACTTCCTCTTACTTAGCTAATGTTACCTTTGTCAAACTGGAAACTTCTAATCTACTTTTGCTGGGTTGGTTGCTCACTTCTAAAGCCCTAAGCAATAAGTCCCTTACTGTCCTATCTTGAACTAGAACTAAAACAGCTAACTTGGACTCGGGGGACACTTCTAACTTGTTAGCTGCAAGTACGAACACCCGGATATTTAATTCACAGTCCCCTTATTTATAGTAGTCCAAAGAAAAATGTGGTGTCAAAATCTTACAATGATGGTTAAGTGATTATTGAAAAATTATGAAACTCGCAAACCCATTCCACAACCTTGTCTACTTAGAGAAATGTTGTTAATTGTGCCATCTTTGACATTTCAACCATTGCAATTGTTCATTAGAGTTAATAAATGACTACTACTAAAAGAGTGAGGATGAGAGTGAGACACATCCAGAAAACCTATCTTCATGTTATCAAGGTATCCTTTGACTATATTTTGTTTTTTCATTCGTTCTCCGTTATTTCTTAAATTTGCTTCATTTTTTTTTTCTTTTATAGATGCTCAATCTCACAGCAATATTCAGCACTTGCTAATAGTTCTTAATCAAACATCTGTATTTCAGTGATGCTCCAACTAGGACTTCAAATTTTACATTCACGAGATTAGGATGTTGTAAAAATGTGAGATCTGGAACGGAGTTAAGATTAGCTGGTTAAACACTTAAACCTAGCATACCCATACTTGAAGTTTCGCTTCTTAAAAAGATTTTAAAAACGAAAAATTAGAAAAAACATACAACTTTTTTCCTTATGTATGATTCTCTTAGCATCACACACTAGGGAGCATTTTCTTTTCTTTGCATGGTACCAAAGCAATTGATTTTCTCTATTCCCAAATACAGATTACAAAACTTGGGTTTTTCCACACAAATTTGTTCAGTTACGCATGAATCAAACACATACAAAACATGTATATATTCCAGATCCAATTTCATACAAAGAAAAGTGTTTGTGGGTCTGTGTGTGTGCGTGTGGATATATATATATAATACTGTATATACATAGAGAGAGAGAGAGAGAGAGAGAGAGAGAGAGAGAGAGAGAGGTGGACAAACTGAGCTCGGAGATGAAAAGCAAGAGCATGAGAATGGAGGAGGCGACGGTGATAACTCCACCGGAGAGGGTTCTGCTGTAGAAATCCTCATTGATCTTGGGGTATGCATCCAAATTTCGTATCTTGTTGATTAAGCTCTCCATTCCAATGATCCCAAAACTTGCAGGAACTCTTACAATCTTCTCAGATCACTGAAATTCAAAACTAAAACTTTGCAAGGGAAAAAAAAACCCCTAAATTAAGCAATATAAAAATATATATATATATATTATGCAAAATTGGATTAAACACCCCGTTGTTCAATTGATCGAATGATTTGATTTTCAGATACAACGAGGCGTTTGNCGAGCCATTCTAATACTAGCCTGATAGTTGTTGTTATATGCAAATTCTACCAACGCAAGCTCATAACATGACTTCGAAAATCTGTATCACCCTCTCGGATTGGCCATTTGAGGATGGAAGGCGATACTAAAGTGTAACTCTGTCCCCATATCTCGCTGTAGACTTTGCCAGAATTGTGCCACAAAACGAGAATCACGATCCGACACAATAGAGAGTGAAACTCCATGTAATCTAACAATCTCACGAATATAAAGCTTGCTCAAGGTCTCTAAATNAATGATTTGATTTTCAGATACAACGAGGCGTTTGAGAATTCGTTCTCTAATCAATGTCTATACAATCTGTACGCACAGAGAAATCCTCCAATGCACACAGGTCAGCATTCCTTTTTTTTTTTTAGGGAAAATTANAAATTATGCCCTTGTGACGTCCTTGGAAATCCAGATACGAAATTCATGGTGATGTGATCCCACTTCTTCTCTGGGATAGGCAAGGACTGTACTCATCCTCCGGGCTTTTGATGCTCGATCTTTACCTGCTGACACACCACACATTGTGATATGAACATTGCCACATCCTTCTTCATTCCCTTCCACCAATATTGACTCGTCATGNATTTTTGTCTTTAAAGTTCTAATTTCATCAATTTTATCCTCCATGTTAACATATTAACTTACTTTGGTCATTACCCCTAATTGCCGTCCAAAAATGTGACGAAAAAGAACACATGAGCGGCATGTGAGGAAGTCTACGTTCTCTTGTGTATGTGTGTGGATCTGATTCCATATTCCCATTGTCAAAACCCACTTGAACACAACTCTCCCCACGCCTCCTCTGCCCATCACTAACGCCTCTCTCTCTCCATACAGATTTTTGATTTTGATATCAATTCTGACATAGAAACAATGATGGCGGGGCATTGGTTGAGAAAAAACTTGTGAAAAAATCGAGAGAAAGATTTGATCATCGTAATGAGTAGGGTGATCAGTGTCGACATCTTTAAGATAGAAAAAGGGGTTGCTTTTTTGTGAACCAACCCAAACCCCATTTTTTCCAATTTTTTTTTTTTT